GGGGGCGGCCTTGAGCCGGGGCCGCAGGCCGGGGGCGCGGGGAAGTCGGCGGCGCAGCGGCTGGGTGCTGGAGAGCTCCGGACGCGGCAGGGCGATCTGTCTGCTGGCGGGCACTCGCTGCCCTCTGTCTCAGAAAGGGAGGACGGAGTGGCTAGGGCTTTATGGGCTCCACGGAGGAGGAGGACGCGGAGCGCGTGGGGGGAGCAGACACCTCGCTGCCAGGTCGGAAAGCTCTCCAGACACCCTTCCAGGAGGGAACCGCAGTCCGCAGGCCAGGGCTGTGCCCCGGGGCTCGCGTTCCGGGGCTCCTCGGCCCCCGAACCCACTCCCGCCGGTTGCGCGTGGCTAGGATGCAAGTCCAGATTTAGTTGTTAAACTAGGCTTGTGAGCCGTTTACTAGTCACCCAGACGGTAGTGAGGCCCGATCAGACTGAAAGGTCTGTGGTGTGAAGTCACCTGATCCTTCGCTCCCCGGTTTTGCTGAATGTGAGCTCCTACTGTACGTGTACCAGGAGCGCCCCTGCCCCCTCCAAGACGCATTTGCTTTGGCAGCGGAGTGTTGTGTGTCCCTCTCCTAACACCCCTATTTTTAGGAGTTCGGCATTTGATCTTTTGCTGTGGTGTGAACCGAACGCCTGAAATCCTGATTGAGAATTTTGATAGTACTTAAAGGCATGAAGTTTTTCAAATGCTTATAAACAGTAAAAGCTTACGGTTAGGGAAGTATGGCCGGGGCATAGAGAAGATTTTATAAACTACACTAAACGTGAACTTGTGTTCTTCAGATTCCTCTTTCCACAATCTGATAAAGGTTTAGTGAGATGAGATGTAAAACATTTTGATAAGATGTTATCCATGAAGACACTTCAAGAGAAAAGTTTATGTGAACTATGTATTTCATCATTCATAGTAACCCTTGGACGTGGTGACCATATGTCAGAGGCGATGATAAACTTTAGAGTTTTGATACGGGATAAAGAACAGGAAATAAAGTTTATTTTATTATTGCCTGCCCAAAAAAGCACTTGACAGAACTGTTTACATAGAAAAACCAAAATACAACCAGAGAAGAAGGGTTTTGCTTTAGATCTCTTCTGGTTGGAATTCTCAAATAATTAGTTTTGGAATGCTGATGGATTGATTAATTTAGATCTTTTGGATCCTAGGGGTCTGTAGTGTGTGTGTGTGTGTGTGTGTGTGTGTAAGCTCTTGTGCTTTATATATATATATTTTTAAGGTGACCGTTTTAGATGTAGTTTCAGAGTGTTTTATGTACTTGCCTTATTAGGAGAAGCATAACTTTATGACTTAGTCATGGTGATGAACATTGTTTTTATTTTGTGGTACATTGGAAAGAGATGTGATTCTTAAGAGTTGATAAATAGGGCTCACTATTTATTAAATGTTCTGTCTGCTACTCAGAGGTGTTTGTGTGCTTTTTTCCTCCTACTCTGGAGGTAGCCCTTCACTTGGTAACGATACCTATCAAATGACTGCCTAAAACCTGCTAATTTGCTCTGAAGTCTCTCAATACTACATTAAAATCCAAAAAAAACTTCTTAAGATTTGTGTTTAAAGTCCTTGCAGACAGGCTGTGAATGAGTAGGGACTCATCTGTTTTTGACTTTGTAGAAGCAACTCTTTGTCTCCCTCTGCTTTCTGAATAAGTAAAGTTGAAGAACTGAGTTGGGGTGAGTCAGGTGCCACTCCAGTAGCTCAATCTTACGAAGGTGCTTTGTGTCTCTTAAGAGAAATGCTTACTCTCTTTAGGAATGTACAATCTTTATAAAGTACTTATGTACTCTTGTATTTTAATGGCTTTGTGGGATGATAGGAATCTGTGGATGTGATTAAATCTCCTTAGTAAGGTGTTTCAAAATTCCTGGAAATTCTTTATTTGGTGAAGAAAGATCTGCCTTACAGTTAAGAGGCATTTATTGTAGGGAAAATAAACTGTGAGTTAAAATGAGATTCTGGCCTTAAGTGTGTCCATTTGGGATTCGATTTTAGTTTGCCACTATGTTTTAACTTTAGGATAAAATTTTTGAATATTCACAAGTGAAAGTAACTTTCTTGAAATTGTTAGACCTTTTCCAAAATTGTGCTTTTTCCACCTGTCTAGTATTAAACAGTTGTTAAGAGTACCTGGAAAACTGTCACCTCGTTCCATGCTGGAGTTCAAGACATATTGTGAGAGGGACGCCTGGGTGGCTCAGTGGGTTAAGCGTCCCATTTCAGTTCAGGTCATCATGATCTCACGGTTCGTGGGTTCGAGCACCGCGTTGGGCTCTGTGCTGACAGCTCAGAGCCTGGAGCCTGATTCGGATTCTGTGTCTCCTCCTTCTCCCTCTGCCCCTCTCCTGCTCGCACTCTGTCTCTCAAAAATGAATAAATATTAAAAAAAAATTTTTTTTTAAATCACGATACTTTTTAGCAAGATGCATTAAAAAATTGTTTATGCTCGTTTCAAATACTTGTTTGACATGATTGTGAGCAAAGCCTTTTGGCAGGCTCTCAAAGTTAAGAGACAGAAATGTAAGGAATGGGAGTGGAAGTCAAACTTTTTTGTAACGGTGATTTATTGCTTTACAGAAGTTTTCTCTGGGGTGGCTACAGGGAAACCCCCCCTTTTTTTTTTCTTTAAAAAAATGTAATGGTATTCTGTGTAACCATTTTAGGGTTCTAAAATCCAGGTATGTTAACTTTCTTGGGCATTATTTAACTTAAGGAAGATAGATGTGAGTATTGAGTTGCTGAACTTGATCCCCCAATGAATTCATTACCCATGTTAAGTTTCTTCCTATCCTTTACTGTTCCCTATCACCTCTAGTACAGAAGAATGGTTGAGGGCTTTCTCTATAGCTTCAAAAGTGAGTAGTTGAAAAAACTCCACCAGTCTGAAAATATGGTGGCAATAGGATAATCCTTGATATTTTATAAAGTGCTTTAAACATCTTGCTTTGATCTTTTTTTTTTTCTTTCTTAAAATCTGCTTTTGAGAGATCCCATTGGAGGGAGTGATTTTGACTTGTCTACAGTCACAGAAACTACTCAGAGGCACTCTTACCCCTGTAGACTTGGAGGAGAGTATGGGTCTTTCTTCCTTGAAAATTATCACAGGCATAATTAGAAATGCCAGGGTAAAACTGTTGAATGATGTCTGAAATCATACTAATGATTTTTTTTTTTTAGTTTTATAGGCATTTAATAGCTTACCAGTTGATACAATAGGATTTTTTAATATGCAGAAAACATGAATAAATTTTGTTTTACGCAGTCTGAGAGCAACAACTCTTACTGTAAAACACAAGAGCAATATTATAAATTTTTTTTTTTCAGTGTTTATTTATTTTTGGGACAGAGAGAGAGACAGAGCATGAATGGGGGAGGGGCGGAGAGAGAGGGAGACACAGAATCGGAAACAGGCTCCAGGCTCTGAGCCATCAGCCCAGAGCCTGACGCGGGGCTCGAACTCACGGACCGCGAGATCGTGACCTGGCTGAAGTCGGACGCTTAATCGACTGCGCCACCCAGGCGCCCCAAGAGCAATATTATATACATTCCTTTAGTGATTTTTTTTTTTTTTAATTGTGTCAGTATCTTCAGTTAACGTTTACAATCTGGGAACTGTTTTCTCCAATCATCACCACCTCTGCAACATTCATATGAAATCAGTGCTTGCTTTCATGTCAGTGTCAGATCAACTTCTAACTTGAAGATTTTGTGTTTGTTTCTGTCATCTTCATAGTGAGCCTTAGGGATGCCTGAAGGATAGGCAGGACAAAAAGCAGTTGTGACTTGTAAATCCAGCTTGGCCCCCCCCCCCCCCCTACTGAAAATAAACAAACAAACAAACCCCAAAACCTTTTTCACCAATTTTGTACATGTCGTTTCTCTACCAGGAGATTCTTTTTTGCATCATCTAGATTAATTAAGACATTGGACTTATATACAGCTGGACAGAAAGAGTAACCATTTTAAGTGCCTTTTCCTTCAACAATTTTAACTTCAGTTGTTTAAGGATTGGGACAGTTAATGAGTAACGATAGAGCAAGTCACTAAGTGGAGTAGGAGATTTTAAAGTAGAAAGGGAAAAGGTAGAAAGAAGAATTCATAGAAAGAAGTAGAATTCACGAAGTAGAACAACTTTGCTTATTAAGTACATTGACAAATACAAAATATTCAGAAGTGCAAAGCCAAGATGACTATTTTACAAATGATTTTTCAAGTTATTGGTAATCCTATCTCTCTGTGTTTAGGTGTACATGTATTTGCTAAACTTAGGTAGATTTTTGTAAAATGTGTATTTAAGTAGCCACCCTCACTATCTACTGTGGGATAAATGGCTGTAGGTAGGCGGTTTTATGGGCAGGTGATATCTATTAGAAGGAATTGTTAAGTCATGAAAGACTTATTTATACATTCTCTATATTCCCAAGGAGATAGTGTACATTTTGACTAATTTGGGGTTTAGTTTTCTGACCAGTACAGGTAGGATCTAGGGGATGCCTGGGTAATGTACTATCTTAATAGAAATTATTCATACAAATTATATTTCTGTGACTGGCATCAAAATAACCAGTAACTCTAGTAACTTGTTGGTGAACTATGTAACTTTGAAAGAGCTTATCAAGGATCTATAGTACATTTCATCTTTTTATTGCATAATACTCTGTGGGGGTAATGTTTCTTTAATTACAGAGAAGCAAGATAGTGCAGTGGGAAAGAATGAGGAATCAAAAGCTGAGTGACATCACTTAAACTCTCTGAGCCTTGAAGCCCCGCACATACAGCAGTGATGATAATCCCATGATAGGGCTGTTGTGGGAACAAGTGAGATGACAGGTACAAGTGTTCTGTAACTTGTAAAGCTGTCTGTGTGTAAGAGACAGTAATGTACATGTAAGAATGTGCCAATTTGACTATGCTGTTATATAGATGTGTATAGTTGCAATCAGTCTCTTCTAATTTTTTTTTTCACTGCAATGTGGGCAAAGGTTTATTTTGAGCAAGGGTAGTGGGTGCATTTTTAACTTTATCTGTAAAATGCTGATAATGTGTTCATGATTAGGGGTATTGCAAGTATTAAATGTGATAAATGCTCTTAACCCACCGGCAAACATTCTGTTGATGGTAGTTATTACTATAATGTATAGTATTTAAGATGAGACTCTGAACTAAAAGTTAAGTTTCACAATAGGTGACTTGAAAGACCTTTGTTA